TACCCGTGTACATCCTCTGGTCTAGCCAGATTTGTAAGGTATAATTGGGATCATGATAGTTGGGGGAGGGGAAGCATTTCGGAACTAGAGAAAAATTGTATGTCTCATCATTGCGACATTTCACCCTGACTGGCTCATCTCCTCCCAGCAGCCCTTTGGTAAGGGGATGTCTAGTTGCCTAGAAATGGGCTTTGGGTCCCCACTCTGTACTCCCCTCATTCACAATGATATGAGGATTATCTGTTGTGCCTCTCTGTAGAACCTTCAAAGTTGAAGGTTGTGCAATATCTAGTTCTCTTGGTCTCAGGGTAGTAGATGTTGTGTCTCAAATAGGCTATCATCAGCCTTATGTGTTTATTTCTTTTCTGTGATGTTTGCTACTATTTCACTCGTGCTCCTAGTAAATAGGGACCATTGGCTGTGAGCAATACATTTTTTAGAGTCATAAATTTATATTTTTTCTCAGCCAAAGGAGAGCAGCACTATTTTCTAAGAAAATTGGAATCATACTTAAAACAACAACAATAACAAAATATTCACAAAAGAAGGATAAGAACATATACACAGTGACAGATGGAGCCTAGGAGAAAGAGAGAGAAAAACAGAGAGGGGGTGGGGTGGGTTTCTTTAGAATCCTAAAAACTTATTTTATAAAGGCAAACTACTTTCAAAATAGTATGTTGAAAAACCAATTGATTGTAGCAATTTTTCAATCTTTGAGGGCTAAAAGTAGTTAGCTGTTATGCAATAAGGGCAAATTAAATGAAAGATAACTTTGATTTTATACATTTCAGTCAACCAACCCTTTTTTCTACACGTGGGCAGTTCCTGTATATGATGTTGAAAATAGATGGGTTTCAAATGGCAGTTCTTAACATATGGCTAAGCAAACTCAAAACCATAGCATTAAAAAAACCAAATATAATAATACATAGATTAGCCAATTAGCAATGCTTCATTTTTCTCGATGAGGTCAAATGGCTCTGATTTTCGCACAGCTGCTGGAGCTGATTATCACAAAGTTAGTTAGATGGAAGTTTCTGGAATTAAATTCACTAGGCAAGAACATAATTTTACAACCTCCCTCCAAAGCTCCTGTGGGAGGAAATATGGGTAAAGAGTTTTAGCTGGCAAATCTCATCAATAAATAATGGTCATTATAACAGAAGTTACAGAATTGGGTAGTGGTTTCTGTGATAACTAGAAAACTGCTGTTGCCTCTACTTTTAATGGAAGCTACAAAAGGAAGGGGGCTAAGAAATACAAGAAAAACCCTACACTAAAATAAGCCTTGTTTGTATATAAAATATGACCAATTCAACAAATCTGTAGATAAGCATATAAGAAGATGACTCAATATTACAGAACCATCATCACAGTGATTCTAGAAACCATACTCTATGGAACATAGAGAATAAAACGATGAATATAATGAGGTCAACAGCACTTAAGGTTAGAGAGACATAAAGCCATTTACAATCACGTTTTATATTAGACTCAAGTGAAAATGAATGTAGTGATTCATATCCTGCATTTTGAAACAACACCCCAGGTTCAAATCCCAACGCAGCATTTTCCAGCTCTGTCAACTCAGGGAAATGACTAAACCTCTTTGTGTTTGTACTTGTAAAAAATGGTCAACCGACAAATAACTTTGTTGCGTGATACTCAAGCTAAAAGTACTTTTTCAAGAATAAATTGGATGTGCCCACCCATTAGTTTCAATTCTTCCAATGGCTTCCAAGGTCCTATGTGACCTGAGCCCTACTTGGCTGAGCTCTAATGTCCTCAGTCTACCGCATTTTAGCAACATGTATTTTCTACCTCGGGGCCCTTGAATGTGCTTGAAACTTTCTTAATCCTCATCCTACTTTGAATGGTTGTACATTCTTATGCATTAGATGTCTCTGACCTATCACCACCAAAGATAAGTTTTCCCTAAGTTTCCTGTTAAATACTTTCTACAATCAATCCCCTTACTCTCTGACATATCATCACATCTTGTATTTTTTTCTTCCTGGTATTTATATCTGTAATCAAATATTTTAATTTGATTTCTGTACCTCCTTTTCCCACTAGGATATAAAGTTCATAATCAAGGACTATGTCTATGTGGTCCAATCCTGTATCTCAAATATGTGGCAGAGGGCATGGTAGGTACTAGGTGCTATACAAATAAATTGTGAATAAATGAACAGTAGGTGTTCAATGCCTTTTGAATGAATAACTGGAAAGGATTTTTTTTAACTTCTTACACTAAAAAGTAAACATAGCTTTTAAATGCCACCAAGGTACTTGTGTAAGACCAAACTATCATGCTCCAGCCCACCCCCACCCCTCAAAAGGAACCACCTTCCATGTAATTCCTACATGGTATTTTATTCATAGGAGAGCTTGGTCTCCTGCCTAGGCAGCTGATTCTCTATGGAGTAAACATATCAGCCAGTAAGTTGACAAGCACACAGCCTTGTTTTCCTTTCCTAAGACCTACGGGATAGATCCAAAATGTTTCTGTTCTAAAACTCTAATTCAAACAGTAGATTCAATCATTTCTTTCTCAGATCATTAAGATGAAATATCACTTTAAGGTGGTAGTACTCAATGAATACTGTGCTACTAAAAGATTTGCCAAATCTTGGAACAAAATGGGAGTTGAAAGTGAAAAGCATGTGCTAGTTCTGAACCCAACCTTAATTAAGGGATTTGTTTCTGAAGTTGGCCTCAAAAAGAAATGGGAAGAAATTATAACTGTAACTTGATGACAGGCACCATTCCTTTTAAAGATTAATAAGGACTGCTTGGTTCTAGTGTGTGCTAATAATACAGTGATGTCAATTAAAAGTCACTTATTCCACTTTCATGGTCTGAGATAGTCTCTCAATCAAAGTCACTTCATTAGCTTTAATTTTGATCCATTTCATGGCACTCAGAAACAAGTCGCTTTTCTTTTAAAAAAATGAAGAAAAATTAAAAAGAGCCAACGACATACTTTTACCTCCAGACTTATGATTTAATCCTATGGAGATTATGACCATCTTATTTGTGTTATCTTTGTGGAACCATAATTGCTCTGAGAAAGAAGTGATTTCTTATGAGGGACTCATCGCCCTTTCTCCTTTAAGTGCTTTTGGTATTGGATTAAATATTAATTTGAAGTCCATCTGTGCTTATTCCATTCAGCAGGTCCTGCTTATGGAGAGCAGTATAACACTACATTGCTTTCCCACCAGAGACCACTGTTTTCGAAGCCATGATGGACCCTTTGACCTTTGCCTTATATTTTATGCACTTTGTATCCAAGACAATCTATGAACAATAGAAATGGCAAACATTAAAATGCAGGATAACTGTGTGGTTTTCTCTCTTCTTAAACAATCACTTAATTGCCCCCATCTTGGAACCAGAACCAAACACTAGATTTCAAGAAAATTGTGTTCTAATGGGGAAAACATATTTTTATATTAAAAATAGAAAACACAATATCTCAGGCAATATAACATTTATATATAACATACTACTTTGGATTAAAATTTGCCCCCCACCCCAACAATGTGTCAACATAACTAGACCAGGATTCCCACAATTTTTCAGTCCTCTTCCATTTGGGTATCCCCTGTTTTATCTGTGTGAATCCTAGCTTCTATATATATAAAGAAGAAAAATTAATGTGACTTGAGTTACCATCTTACAGAGGCTGTGAGTCAATCAGACGCTGGTTTTAGCCAACTCTTACTCAAGTCATGCTGTAGTTTGTAGCACATGTTTTGTCTTACTTCAGATAAAAGGAGAGGTAAGTGAGGAAAGAGGAATGAAAAGCTAGGAGTAGAGCAAGTCCTTAGGGGCCAGGTCTCTAAGCTGCGAACCTGGAGATTCAATGGAAGATTGATGCCAAGACACAATAGCCACAAGGAAGACCAGGCCTATATCTGTTGAAAGAAGACAAGAAGTGGGTCCCAGATCCAATACAGCAAGGTCGCTTCTCCTAGAGCTGGTGCCCGGAATTCGAATTTCTAGCCTCCTAACATTGAAAATTATTTTCTGTTCTTTTAAATTTATTTTCAGATTTTCTGTGTGTTAAAACTATTTTCCTTATGGCATTTCTGTTGTAGAAGCACCAGATGATAAACAATGGAATTTGGTACCAGAAAAAGTATTTTTCTAACAGACATAAAAAATGTGGAAGAGGTTTGGTAATTGTGTAAGGCACAAAGGCTGGTAGAATTTTAAGATGAATAACAATAAAAGCTTTAGATTGCCTTAAAAAGACTGTTGGTAGAGTCATGGCTGTCAAAGAGCAATTTTGGTGAGAGTTCAGAAGACAATGAGGAGAGCTACAGTGAAAGCCTGTATCCTCTTAGAGACTATATATGGTTCAGCAACAGAATGTTGATAACCATGTGGAGGTTAAATGCACTTCTGATAAGGCTTTTAAAGTTTAAAAGAAAATGATGAGCATGTGCTTGAACAATGGAGGAAGCATGATGCTTTTTCTGCACTGGCTAAGAACTTGTTGCAATGTGGCTCGAATGTTTGGTAGAAGGTAGAACCTGTAACTGGTGAGGGTGTTATATGTGGCATACGAAATGTCCAAGATCGTCAAGGGGTCACGTGGTTTCTCCTTGAGAGTTACAGTAAAATGTGAGGGGACATAGAAGGACTTACAAATTAACTTGGTGCTCGTTTTGGCAGCACATATACTAAAATTGGAATGATGGAGAAGATTAGTCTGGCCCCTGATCAAGGATGGCATGCAAATTCGTGAATTGTTCTATGTGAAAACATATACTAATAACTTTGTAAAATGAAAATAAAACCTTGACTGTTTGAAAAATGGTCTTCACAAATTAAAAACATGGATTTTATTATTTTTATAAACTTTTGTGACAGAGATTAAGCCTGTACCTGTACCTGATGGCTCTAACCAATTAGCACAGAAGCAAACAATATTAGCCTGAAGGGGACAGAATGACAGGACAGAAGACGGTCTACCTCTAGGAATGCTACGAGCAGGAAACAGAGCAAAGGCACTATATCTCCTGTTCTTCAGGAACAGGACAGAAAGGGTGATCTCTGAAGAATCTTGGAGGTCAATGGAACTGTTGAGAGGAGCATGGGCAGCAGAGCTGCCTAGATCTCAGAGAGTGGCCACAACCACTCAGGTTTCCAAGAGTAGGATCTCCACTCCATTCCACAGTGGGGCTGCTGTGAAGGTGTGCCTGAGGGTCTGGGACATCATTTTTAAGTTGAGGAGATGCTGCTGCCAGGCAAAAGGGTCAGATAGGAGCCTGAGCATTTGGGGTAGAAGGACTTACAGGGGTCCTCAAACTTTTTAAACAGGGCTAGTTCACTGTCCCTCAGACCCGTTGGAGGGCCGGACTACAGTTTAAAAAAACTATGAACAAATTCCTATGCACACTGCACATATCTTATTTTGAAGTACAAAAACAAACAGGGCAAAAACACCAGGCGGGCTGGATAACTGTCCTCGGCAGGCCACATGTGGTCTGCGGGCTATAGTTTGAGGACGCCTGGACTAGAAGAATGGGGTTGCCCAAAGCCAAGGGGATGACAAAGTAGCCATTTCAGTGGATCTGTAATGTGGAGCTAAAGCCCAGGGCTAAGGGGCCTCCAAACAGAATCCAGAAAGCATGGCCAACAAGCAGAGCCTGGATGGACTGGACATTACCTAGAATCTGGTCTCAGAGAATGGAAGATTATCTTCAAATCTTCAGCAACAGTGTAGTTTGCTCTGCTTGTTCTTAGACTTGTTTGACGTCCACTATGCCTTCTTTTCTTCTAATTTCTCCCCTTTGTAATAGACATATCTAGTGTGTGTTTCCTATCCAATCATCGTATTTTTGAAACAGACCATTTGTAGTCTACATTTCGTAGATTCCAAGATGAAGAGGAATTTGCCCCATGATGAAATACACTTAAAGTATCAATCATATTTGATTTAAATGCTTCAAAAGTGAGACTTAGAATTTCAAGCTGATTTTTAACTTTCAGGAAGATGTGATGGGGTGGATGTGCTTTCCATGTGGGAAGGACAGCAATTTCGGAGAGTCAAGAGGTGACCTGTACATGTAATGGATTGAACTGTGTCCCTCCAAATTGCTGTCAACTTGACTAGGCCACAATTCCTACTGTTATGTGGTTCTCTCTCTGTGAGTTAATGGAATGATCCTCCAATGAGTGTTGTAATTCTAACCTCTATATGTTAAGTCGGCAAGGTTAGTGTGCAGTTTATCATCTGGGAACACTTTACAAGACTGTGTTTCCAGTCACACTCTAGATTCAGTAACATCTTTTGTCTCACAAGAGAGACAATTAAAGAGAAGTGGGAGGAAAGGAGGGAACTTACAACCACCCAAGAGAGAAGTGTGGAATACTGAGGGTCTCCTAGAACCAAAGGACGACAGATGCCAACACACACAGAGATCTTCAAGGAATGCTGGGTCCACAGAGGTTGAGAGGAGGCAAGGACTTTCCCCCAAGGCCGCAGGGGAGAGAAACCTTCATACTAGAGCTGCGTGGACTTCTAGCCTCCTAAACTCTGAGAAAATACATTTCTGTTTGTTAAAGCCATCCATTTGTGGTATTTCCACTACAACAGCACTAAGATGAGCACCCTCTATTGTCTGGGTTGTCAAAATGCCTATAAATATTCAAGCCTTAACTGTAAGGTTTGCATGATAGGGGCACTGATGCTCATGGTTAAAGTGGGCTTTGTAGTTTTTTAGAAGAGAGAAAGAATCTGTCCTGGATTGTGGAAGATATTCATGTATAGCTGAATTTCATGTTGCTACTTAACAGTCAGGCCGTTCTGTTCCAACCCCCCTGCAGAGAAATCACATTCCACCCCTGATATACTGAATCAGAATCTGCTTATTAACTAGATCCCCAGGTGTATACATAAGAATCAGCTAGAGATCTATAAGACTCACTGGGGGAACTATTTAAAATATAGGCTCTGATTCAGTACAGCTTCGATGAAAATGAAAATCTACAGCGTGAGGCTGAACTGGAAAGAATCTGTTCAAAGTTCTGCTTTCAAACTGCTGTTTGATGGCAATCAATAGTTCCACGATTTTTTCTTCTATTCGAATGTGATGAGAATAATCAGTATCTGTCTACTATGCACCATTTTATCTGAAGTGAAAGCAAAGCAGTCATTTCCCATTCAGCGAACATGTCATCAGGGTTGCCCTCTTACCCTGATCCCACTATGCAGTGAATGAGGTTTTTCACTTTTTCATCCCATTAAGTTGACTGAAAGCTCCTGGCACATATGGGCTATATCCTATTCTTTTTTTTTTTTTTTGTAGTCCAGGACGTGTATTACATATGGTAGTGACTCAAAGGTTTGCTGAACACAACTGAGTGCTAATGTTCTAGCTCCCTGTCTGCGGTTAGGCAGGTATTTAAATAAAAGCAACTTCCAATTGAAGAGTCTTGGTGGTTTTCCATTGTATATATTTCTTTAAGGTTGCCTAAGTAATTTTTAAAGCACCTATTAAGCATTGGACTGATAACCCCAAGGTCAGCGATTCAAAACCACCAGCCACTCTGCTGCCGGAAGAAGAGGATATCTTTTCTCATAAAGATTTACAGCCTCAGAAACCCTAAGTAGGGTTGCTGTAATCCACAGGGTTTTCATTGGCTGCTATTGGAAGTAGATTGCCACACCTTACCTCCTAGTTAGTACATCAGAAAAGAATGGATGCGTTTTAATTATGGTCTTAGGGAAGAATACTGATGGTACACTGTGCTGCCAGAAGAACTCACAAGTCTGTCGTAGAAATAGTACAACCAGAATGCTCATTAGAAGCAAGAATGGTGAGCCTTTGTCTCACATACTTTGGACATGTTATCAGGAGAGACCAGTCCCTGGAAAAGGACACCATGCTTGGTAAAGTAGGACAGAGAAAAAGAGAGAGTCCTTCAATGAGATGGAGTCACACAGTGGCTGCAACCATGGGAGCAGATGTAACAACAACAATTGTGAGGATGGTGTGTAGTCATCAGTGTTTTGTTCAGTTGAACAGGGGGCCATGATGGGTCAGGACCAACTTGATGGCACTCGGCAACATCAACAGCTAAACAGTTGCAGTCTGGGAAACTCAGGGTGGCCACTATGAATCAGTATTGATTGAGGGCAGTGAGTATAATTAAGAGTAGATACCAGATTTTAACTCTATCTTGTAGCAAATTAATGAATTTATGCTCCTGAAAACAAAGCTCACTTCCACTTTCTTAACTCTCATTTCCTCAGTTATTCTTTAAGTGATCAAATAACTCAATCGCGTTGATGGCACTGAGAGTACACTCATCATCCTTCACCAAGACACTTATCAAGTGTAAACCCTTTGTCACATTTGCTCTCTATAGCATAGTAGAATACTGAAAAATTACAGCTACTCTTGAAGGTGAATTCTTGGCTCTCCCAAATTCTATGCTATTCCCTAGATACACAGAGGCAACCGCTATGTTGAAAACTGCAAACTCACTGCCATCGAGTCAATTCTGAGTCATAGTGACCCTATAGGACAGGGTAGAATTGCCCTTGTGGGCTTCTGACACTGTAAGCATTCTGGGAACATTAGGTACCTGGTGGTTTCAAACTGCTGATGTTGCAGTTAACAGCTCAATGCAGTATGCCCCCAGGGTTCCTATTATTTTGAAGTAGATAGATAATGTACTCTTTGTGTTAACTGTTTAAAAAATGTTGCTTTTATCTTGATTTACCACCTTTCTATTACTGTTCTTTTTGCTAGCTTGCTCGTCTCTACTATTCCTAGTTTCTACCTGCTCAATCATCAGGGCTCAGGTGACAGGGGGCTTACTCCTAGACAGCTTCCTAAAATGTTCCCATTCAGCTCCCACATCTTGCTTTCTTGCTGGTCCTCTTTTACTACACTTGATCTTAGGCAAAAGGCTGAGAAATCACAATGGTACACTTTTATTTGACAGGAAGGGGTGCTGGTGGCTCTGTCTGGTACATGGTGGACTGCTCACCCCAAGGTGAGTGGTTCAAATCCAGCAGTTGCTCTGCAGAAGAAAGAAGGATCTCTGCTCCAGTAAAGATTTATACCCTCGGGGGGCTATTGTCACAATCAATTCGACAGCAGTGGGTTTGGAGTGGCTTTTAATTTTACAACAGAGTGCTTATACCAATATTTAAATGTTGTGGTGCTTATTTTTATGTCCTTTTGTGTGTTTACTTGTGGAGACCAGCTAGAGCATAAACTCAATGGGGTCAAAGATTATGGCTGCCTGTTTCATCATCTTGAACCTAACATGGTTTCCTTATACACAGAAAGAACTCAAGATATATTTGCCGAGTGAATTAATCTATTGTCAAACCGCTCAGAATCAATACAACTCCTAATAAAACCACAATATTTGTCCATGATCATTGTGTTAGTCTGCGTACTTTAAAGAAACAAATCCACTGAAACTCATATATGTAAGAGAAAGTTTTATATAAAGGGTAAGTTCACATCAAGAAAACATCCCAGCCCAGTGCTTCCCAAGGCCACAAGTCCAACATTAACCCATATGTCCAACACCAATCCACAATGTCTTCCTCCATCTCACAAAACACACACTATGATGCTGACTTCAGGAGGAAAGCCGAATCAGTGAATGTGTAAGCATTTCAGCACTGGCTTCATCGGTGTGGCTTCTCCTCAGGGGCGTCTTGCAGGAAGTGAGCCTTGCCGGCTGAAGCAGGAACTGGCTAAGGCAGCTGCACCCTGGTCCGACCATCACAAAG